AACAGAGGGAAAACGGGGACATCCAGGGGCCGGGCCACCGCCTCAATCCACCTCCTCATCCAGATCAGAGGAATCTAGGCGGAGAATGTCGTCGGACGCCGCATCGCGCGCGACGCCACCCCGAAGAACGCCGACATCAGCCTCACCGCCCGTCCCATCTGACGGTATGGGAACGGAAAGGTGGCGGGAGGGCTGATAGGCCGGACGAGAAGCGGCTACTCCGGGGGCCACCGAGGGACTCCGCGCGCGGCACAGCGCAGCGTCCGCGAACTGCTCAGGGACGGGCTCCGCCTCGGCCGCCGACTCGCGGTCGGTTCGCCACTCTTTGCGGCCGCGTGGGTCGCCTCTCCGTGGGGCCCCTGGTCCCTTCAACCCATGGTAGTGGAATAGGAGGCTCCACCGTCGGCTCCCAGAGAGCTGTTAACGACCAAATAACATGCAATGCTAACTAAATGAGGGTTTGTCAGGATGAGTATGAAGAAGAAAATGATTTTAAGTAAGAAACTATATTATAACAATTAGATTAAAAAAATATACAATATACATACACATAATACAATGATTACAGCAGAAAAAGCTACTTTTGATTACATGAGCTTACATCGTCGCCAATCAGTGCTAACAAAAAGTCTAAAGGCCGCTAAGACAAGGAGCCAAACGTCTTCGCTTGCCGCTATACAATTCCATGGACGACAGTATGGTTTTGAACGCTGGAAGGTACAAATGCGCCTTTGAATTCAAGTGGCATTGCTTTGAGGCAAGAGAGCAACATTTCATTCATAGTAAATAGTACACTGCCAGAAGGAAGAAAATTCAAAACGAAGTTTCAGTAAGCAAATGTATCCATCACCACCAATATTTCGATGCTGAAAACAAAAGAAGTAAAACACCACGTCACAGCAAGTGCCATAATTGGCTTTAGCAAAAGGCCGAACAGTACGGATATAAGTATTATGTCACGTGCAGTCGGTTCCCAAGAAAGAAGTTAAAAAAACCAAGAAAGTATTTGGGCCTTCATATTCAGGCGGCTTCTCACCGGGAATACCTTTAAGGAGGGGGAGGCGTCCTTCTACTATTTCAATCATTCTTCTGGTCTATACAAAACTGACGTTTCTTTCCAACACAGCCTGTGACCATTCGTATACAAGAATATCAACGCTGTTTGAATGGTTGCGGAATGGATTACAGTCAAAAATCGATTTTTTCGATTTTGACGGTTCGCCTCTTTCTTCGTCTTTGCCCTGGTCGATACAAAACTGACGTTTCTTTCCAACACAGCCTGTGACCATTCGTAAACAAGAATATCAACGCTGTTTGGATGGTTGCGGAATGGATTACAGTCAAAAATCGATTTTTTCGATTTTGACGGTTCGCCTAGTTCTTCGTCTTTCCTTTCCAGGCGATCGTTGTTACGTGAATAAAGACCTGTTGAGGAGAAGCGACTATTTCCTTACCTTCAGTTGCCATCATTGTGTGCACCGTCACTGCATGTATCCTCAGAGGTAGGTTTCAGGAGTAGTAAGAGACAATCCAAAAATGCTGATGGGCTTTTGAAATCCTCATCGTGACGCCCGCAACTAAGGAACCACACCATGGCCAGAACATGCGCGCACGAACTTGTTGTCCGCGCACCATTTTTGCAAGTGCAGAAATTTCCAATCAATGATTCAAGGATAGTTTTACCTTCTAATTCGATCCAATTAAAAATGGAGTAGACTTTTTGTGATTTTTGTCTTGATTCGTGTTTTGCTTTTACGAAAAATCATGTTTGCCCCCCATTCCCTTCGAGAAAGGAGGGAAACACACATATTTTTACTAGGAAAGAAAAAATTATGAAAATAGATAGGAATTTATCATCATCATCATGATTAACTAAAGGAGGAACTCTCCAAGTGCGTCGTTCTCGGGCGAGGGAAACACACATATACACATATGTTTACTAGGAATTAAAAAATTATGAAAATAGATAGAAATTGATCATCATCATCATCATCATGATTAACT